AGTTCAAAAAGTAATCATCAATTTAACCTATTTTTAGGAAGTCCTAAAATAGTTGGGAATTAGAAAAATACCATCCTCATAAATTACCCATTTTCGGGTTTTTCGTTCTCCTAGATAAGGGGACTATTAAGGTCTTGTTTTTCCCATTTCCCCTATTGTCTAATTCAATACCTCTGAACCCCGTATAATAGGAGGGTTCATTCAAACTTTTAATTACCATATCTTTTGAGATACTTGTTAAAAGTATATTTTTTACTGAGGGGCATTTTATCTTTAAAATTGGCTAGGCAATCCCAACATAGGACTTTGTAAGGAGTTTTTAATTCTCAAAATTTAGTCTGATATCTTTGCTTAACGGTGCCATGATGACCGGCTTTTTCTAAGGGCTTTTGGCATTTACTACAAATGGCTCAGGGACTAACCTGGGAATAACCTTGACCGGGTTGATAAATTAAGTCTTTTTCTTGCCGTAATCGGGCTTTATAATCTTGATAGTTGTAGTGGCTAATTCGAGACTGGTCGATTTGGGTTTCCTGTCCGAGAGGTTGATTTTGACAGTAGCCACAGGGTCTTTGCTGGATAGTTCGGTCAGTTTTGATACAATGACAGCAATATTGATTAGTGGTTAAGCAGGGCAGGTATTTTTGGCAGGCTAAACACAGTCTTTTATTTCGGTAAACCATGATTTTTTAAGTGGCTTGGTTTATTTAATGTCTAACCAGCAAAAGACCATAATTTATCCAATAAACTCTTTAAAAACTCTCTTTCTTTGATTTCCTGCTGGCTATAAAGATGCTGAATAGTTTGGTAGTTTTTATGTTTGTTAATTAGAGCATATAAATTAGGCATGGATAGAAAATTGGTTTGATTTTGGATTGGTTTTTTTAATTTAGTAATGTTTTCTATTAGAGATTTATTTTCACTGTCTTTTTCTCGTAATTTATCCTTTAAACGGTTAATGGTTTCCTGTTGTTCTTTTACTTTCTCTTGTAATTGCTGAACTAAACCAAAAGGAGTTATTTCCTGCTGATTAGTTTTTAAATCACAATTTAGGCAATAAGTTTTATTAGTGCCATAGTTGGCATTCATATTAGGACAAATTTGGCAGGGTGGTAGTGGTTGTAAAATATCGTTTACAACTATGCTGGCTGGTTGTAAATTAAGTGGTAAAATTTCTTTTGGTGGTAAACTCTCACTTTTTACAACCATTTCATTTTCTTTTTTTACAACCTCGGAAGTTTTTACAACTCCTTTTCGTTGTAAATAATTTTGCTGAAAATAGCCCTTGGCTTTTCGTTTTTGGTTGTAAATTTTTCAATATTCTTTATCTTTAATAGGCATAAGGGTTAATGCTTGGTTCAACATTCTTCCATAACTTACTATAATCCTCATAAATGCTTTCAAAATCATTATGAATATATTGGGCTGTGGTTTCTAAATTGGAGTGTCCTAAAAGTTTTTGGATAGTAGTCATTCGGACTTTTCTTTTGTCTAAAAGGGTGGCAAAACTTCTTCTAAAAGTGTGAGGGCTAACCCATTTTCTTAAACCAGCCAATTTAGTTCGGGTTCTTATTATTTCCCTGACTTTATCAGTTAAGAGTTTTCTTCCGTTTTGATTGGTGAATAAATATCCCTTAGCACCAGGTTTAAAATATTGCTCTAAAAAGGGGGGTAAAAGAACTTGCCGAATTTTATTCCCTTTGCCGTGAATTTTTAAACTTTGTTCTTGCCAATCTCGGTGTTTGAGATTGACTAATTCACTTACTCTTAAACCCGTATAGAGTAAGAAGTCAAGGATTAAATTATTTCGGTGATATACTTGGTCGTTTTTTTCAAATCGGGCTTGTTTTAACTGGGCTAATTCAGTTTCAGTAATGGTGGTAAAAAACTTTCTCATTTTTTTGGGGATGAAGTTTTTAATTTGGTCTCAATCGATACTTTCATAAATCTTTAAATATTTGCTATAAGAAATTAAGGCTGCCAAATAGAGTTGACAAGTGGCTGGCTCTTTATGCTTGGCTATTTTTTTGATGAACTTGGTGAGGTTTTCGGTCGTGAGGGAGTTTTGATAATATTTGCTGATTACTTGCTGATAAATGGTGATAGTGTTGGGGGATAAGTTTTTGTTTTGGAGGTAGTTTAGATAATTATTCATATTATTTAAGGTCTAAATATTCTTTCTTGGGCTTGGCTTGGCAAGTTTTACATAATCGGTTAAATACTCTTTCAATACATTTGACTTGCTGGCACTTTTGACAATGCCGATTTAGTCAGATGGTTAGTAAAAAAGTTAAAAAAATGTTTTCGGTTATTAAGATGGTTAAAATTATTTGGTTCATATTTATGGTTGCTTTTCTTGGTTTTGTTCGATAGATTGTTTACAATTGCCACATATTCAGCCCTTATCTATTTTGACCGAGCCTAATTTAACTATGTGCTGAAATTGGGCTGTCTTTTGGCAGTTGGGATAGTGGTATTGGCATTTAGGATTTGGCATGAGTGGTATTAATGGAGGCTTTTAATTTATGCCTTTCTAAAACTTCCTCTACTTGCTTTTTTTCTTCCTCGGTTAGTTCTCGGGGTTTACCGGACACTTTATCAGGGTCAAGATTATCGGAAGTGGGTATCAAAAATAGTTTCTGTAAAAAATATTTCACAGCATAAGTTTCGGCTGAACCTTTGGCTTTGGCAATATCCGTGTTTTGTCCCAAGGCTCAAAAATAAAAAGTTAATTGCTCTTGGGTATTTTCTGAATTGGTTAAAATTATTCTTTTTCAATACCTAATTACTCATTCTTTTTCTGGTTTTTCCAGGGTAAAGTTATCTAATAAGTCATCAAAAGTTAAAGTTAATTTTTGTTCGTTTAGTAAAGGTTTAAGGGCTTTTAGTATATCATATTCAGCCACATATTTATAGTGTTGAAATTTATTTTCTTCGGTTTTGGTTAAATGGTTAATTTTGCTTTGGATTTGTTGTAATTTTTGATAGATGTTAGTTGTATTCATATTATTTTGGTTCATTTTCTTTAATTTGTTGATTTAGTTTGGTTTCCCATTCGTTATAAGTATTCAAATAATCCTCCTCCCTTTTTTTACTATTAAT